ATGGGTGCCATCCTGCCAACTTCAGTGCCAAGTTCAGCCTTTTTCCCCCCGCTGTGCCAGAATTTTAATGCCAACCGAGGTTTGATTCAGAAACACTCAGAAGATCTTTGCGTTGTGCTTCACTGTGCTTACTGTGGGGAAATGAGGTCAATAAATTCCTGGCGCAGATGTTACATTACATACTGTGAAAGTGCTTGAATGCCCGTGGATGAAGCGAGTGAGTGTTATTACTGAAACATGAACTGTAAAGGTGTTCCTTCTCTTTATTGAGTGGCCATTTCCATAAATAAGCCCACTAACCATTTTTATGCAGTTTGCTGTGAAAAACTATTTTCTCTCTTTTCAGATGCGTTCTCCATTTTACATATTGAGTATTATCTATTATCTATATTATTATAAAGCTTATTGTGGGTGCTACAGATGTAGAAAGGGGATGAAGAAATAATATTTGATTCATTTATTTGATAAACAAAATAATCTCACAAATGATAATGCCAGTACAGCTCATCCTCAACTTACAGTGACCATTCAAAGTTACGACACTGAAAAAAAGTGACTTATAACTGTTTTTCACACTTACGACCATTTCAGGATCCCCCCGGTCAAAATTTGGATGCTTGGCAATTGGTTCGTATTTATGACGGCTGCCGTATCCCAGGGTCACAGGATCCCCTTTTGCAACCTTCTGACAAGTAAAGTCAATGGGGGAAGCCACATTTAGTTAACAACTGTGCTGTAACTTAAGAACTGCAGCGATCCACTTAGCAACTGTGGCAAGAAAGGTCGTAAAGTGGGACAAAACTCACTTAACAAATCTTTTGCTTAGCAACAGAAATGATGAGCTCAGTTGTAGTTGTAAGTTGAGAATACCTGTATCGCAAACCCTTGGATCAGTGTTTTACAACCCTGGATACTTAAAGATGGATGGCATGCCGGCTGGGGAATTCTGGGAGTTGAAGTCCAGCCATCTTCTTCAAGTTGCTGAGAAACGCTACCTTAGATACCTGAACCATTGCTAGTTGAAATAACTACAACCAAATGCTTTTTAAATTTTCTGAACAGTCTTCCATCTGGCTGTGTAGGTATGTGGTCCACGTCTCCATGGCAAACAAATGTAGAGAAAAGTAAAGTCCTACACTTAGGCAAGAAAAACCAAAAGTACACATACAGACGGGGTGAAGCCAGGCTCAATAGCGGTAACTGTGAGAGGGATCTTGGAGTCTTAGTGGACAACCAGCTAAATATGAGCCAGCAGTGTGCAGCAGCAGCCAAAAAAGCTAATGCAATCCTAAATTGCATTAACAGAGGGATACAATCGAGATCAAGTGAGTTACTAATACCACTCTATACAGCCTTAATAAAACCACACCTAGAGAACTGCATTCAGTTTTGGTCACCGTGTTATTAAAAAGATGTTGAGACTGGAAAAAGTACAGAGAAGAGCAACCAGGTTGATTAGGGGACTGGAGACTAAAACATATGAAGAACAGTTATAGGAACTGGGCTTGGCTAATCCAGTGAAGAGAAGGACCAGGGAAGACATGATAGCAGTCTTCCAATATTTGAGGGGCTGCTACAGAGAGGAAGGGGTCAAGCTATTTTCTAAAGCGCCTGTAGGCCAGAAAAGGAACAATGGATGGAAACTGAACAAGGAGAGATGTAACCTGGAAATAAGGAGAAACTTTCTGATAGTGAGAACAATCAACCAATGGAACAGCTTGCCCTCGGAAGTTGTGGGAGCGCCATCACTTGAGACTTTCAAGAAAAACCACTTCAACTCAATAACATTTGAATTTTCTAGCACAAACTAGGAATCCTGCCACAACATTTCTCTTGGATTTTGTCCTGGACTTTGACTTGGCCCATTCCAAAATGTTGAATGTATTCTTCTTCACCTACTTTCTTATGGGCTTGCTTATATGATTTGAGGATAATAATTGCCATGTGGCAAGTTCTGCTTATGAATCTGTTTCATCTGGTGTGATTTGGCGATTTTATATTCTCCTGTAGAATTTTTCTACACAAAGCAGAATTCATGCTTCCGTTGAAAATGGCAATTCATCACCAGATCATGCCTCTAAGATTGTTTAATGGTATGTGGGAAAGACCTTGGGAGAACAGCTGAAGAGATGCTGCCTAGGGAATGGTCAGGGAAGAGACAGCTTAGGCTAATCTGTATGAGGGCAAGCAACAGGTTCAGAAGGGACCCTGCCAAGTTGTACAGGAAAAGAATGGTTGGAAACTAATCAAGGAGAGAAGCAACCTGGAATTAAGGAGAAACTTCCAAACAGTCAGAACAATTAACCAGTGAAACGACTTGCCTTCAGTAGCTGTGGATGCTCCATCACTGGAGGCTTTTAAGAAGAGACTGGACAGACACTTGTCTGAAATGGTATAGGGCCTCCTGCGGTGGGCAGGGAGTTGGACTAGAACCAAGACAAATTCCTTGTGTGCCCAATCACACTTGGCCAATAAAGTATTCTATTCCAGGGGTCTCCAACCTTTTGGACCTCAGGGACTACCAAACTCATAATTTTAAATCCCAGGGACCACTAACCAGTTCTGTAGGCGTGGCCTAATTTGTGGGTGTGGCTTGGTGGTCATGTGACTGGCTGGGTATGGCTTGTATGTAAATATAAATATTTATATAAATATTCAATTTTTTTATTAAAAAGAGCATCTTTTACCCCAAATCAGGCAAAGCAGGCAGGCAGATTGAGTTACTCACAGAATCATTCAGTGATCTATCTATCCGCCATCGGCTAGCTCAGTCTCTCAAATTTGCTTGCTGTGGGTCTGCACTGAATAATAGAACCTTCAGTCCTAAGGGAGGTTTGGCTGTGCTTAAAAGCAGAGCCGAAGATCTAAAGACTAGCTAGAAAGCAAGAAATCCAACCATTTCCTGCTTCCTAGCTAATCTAAATCTCGCAGCACAGCAGAACAGATGATGGTCGGAAAAAGGAAAAATAGCAATTTAGCAGGCAAGTTTGCCGAGTAAGGAGTAAGTGGGCGGGGAGGGTTCCTGCGGGCCATGTGGGCTGCGCAGCCTTGTATTTCTCTTTTTTTGTTGTAAATTTTATTTGAGTTTTCACAAAGAAAAAAAAATACAAATAAAACATCTTTTTTGAAGGTAGCGTAATCCCAGGTTACATTTCTTCGTACAGACATAAATTCAACTTCATGCTCATTTTATGTTCTATTCCATATCTTCTTACTGTTTTACATTTTCTGAATAGCTTCTCCTCTCTTTTAATTTTAGGGTATATATTGAAGCCTAAATAAGAGTTAAATGGATAAACTTAAAAGATATAAAGGCGTCATATTCCAATCAGTAACTACAGGAGAAATTTTGTTTAATGAGAAACGATAATAGATAATTGAAACCGGACAGACAAAAAATATAAATATAATGATTTGAATTAAGACCATGTAATGGACATAGGAATGATAAAAACAGCCATAAATCCCCTTTTGTAAGCAAAGCCATTTACTTTACTAGAGCTAGATTTACTTTTCTATGTTACTATCTCAACAGATGCAGTGATTCACTTTAGCAACTGTGTCAAGAAAGGCCCAAAACAGTGGGGCAGAATTAACTTCACAAATGTCTCGTTTAACAACAGGAATTTTGGGCTCCATTGTCGTCATAAGTCAAGGATTTTTTTTCCCTCTTTTCACTTTAACACGCTCCTGGAGAAGGTATCTCAGACCTACAAAGCCATCTCCTAACATTCGGAAGTATTAAAATCTCATTGAATGTCCCTTTTTTCCCTACTTTTCTGTCATTCTATCAGGAGGCAGAGATGAAACTCAGTTTTCTAAATGCAATTGGAAAGCATGGAAACTCTCAAACCTGCACTTAAGTTAAAAGCAATGTTTTGCTAATAGTGGGTCAGTTTTGATTTAGGCCTGTAATTTGGCAAGGAAGAAAAATACCTATCTGCTATCTCAAGGATAGTAATTTTGTGCGCTGTCCTAATTTCCCCAGAATTGCTTTGCACATAACTAAAAGCTTTTTACTCTTGAAAATATGGAACTGGAGGTAGAAGAGAAATGATAATACTACTGCCTCCCCATTTGTCCAAAAGAAATGTATTTTGGGAAGCAAACAACAGGGTGTGTTACAAGTTTCCTGTTTTTTTTCTCCTTTTTGCTGTTGGAAGTTAATTTTTTAATTTTAGCTGTGTGTTCCATGTTATAACTATATCGCTACAAACTGAGGTTTGCAAATCAACCTTAATCCCTGATCTAAAACGGTCCATTGTTAGGGTTAGTTGTAGATGATCATCAACATTAGAATATTGCACCATGGTTAACGCACTTTCCAGCCTTGTATTTCAATTTAGCCTTGATTTTCATGGTTATGAAGGTAACAAATCCAATCATTGTGGAACTATCACTTTTGCTATCATCACTTAATATCATGGGTCAGCTGCTGTTCAGATCGATGTTCGAAACAGGATTTGTTTTATTAGGTTTATAATAACCGGGATGTAGTTATTAAAAAAAAGAGAGTCCAGATAGATGTAAAGCAAATATTATGGAAGCCTAGGGGCAAATACTGCTGCACAATATGCCTCTATTGGAATTCTAGCCAGCTCCGGGTGGCATCAACTTTGAAACAGATTCTTGACATCCTGTATTCTATTATTATTCTCCTCTTTCCTATTATCTATCTCCTTATCTTCTTATGACCCTAACGTTTGTTGCTTATATTTTACCATTTAATATCCAAGTATGATTTATGTTGATTGCTTATTTAGTATCCTATGACTATCATTAAGTGTTGTATCTTATGATTTATGATGAATGCATTTTTACGATGACTATGATCATAATTTATCACTAATTGTTTGCATGTACACTGAGAGCTTATTCACCGGAGACAAATTCCTTGTTTGTCCAATCACATTTGGCCAATAAAGAATTCTATACTATTAAGCTATCAATGGAAGTTGCTAGGCCAGCTTTCTAAACTAAAGTTATTTATTTTCTTTCAGCATGAATGTCTGTTTGTTGGTGGTGTGAGCCAGTGTTTTGGACAAAGCAATGTTTTAGAAACAGAACTATAGAAAGAGAACCTCCAGCCAAAGGTAAGCATCTCAGCCCTGGGATAGATTTGATCATAGTTTTGGAAAAAAGGGAAAGTGAAAGATTTTCCTGTCCAGTCATGTCCAATTCTAGGACACAGCGCTCATCTCCGTTTCTTGTATGAGGGACCCAGAATTGTCCAAAGACAATTTCCATGTTCCTGTGGCCAGCGAGTCTCTATGCCAAAGGTACATGGAACTCTGTTACCTTCCCACCAAAATGGTACCTATTAATCTACTCACATTTGCATGCTTTCAAGCTACTAATTGGGCAGGAGCTGAAGCATATAACAGGAGCTCACTCTGTTGTGCGGAACTCGGCACTCGAACCTGGCTGTCAGCTCTCCAGCGTCTTGAACCGCTGAGCCATTGTGCAGAATTATGGTTCTGCGTAATTTGATAATTTCAGCACTGTGAGGCCCCTGAAATCGGTGCATTTGGAAATGTGCAAAAAGTTTGTCAGGCTTTGCTTCTTGACCGTGTGGTATGATACTGCAAACAACCGTAAATATGAGCGAGTTGCTAAGCACCCAAACTGCAATCACAAGACTGCAGAAACTTGTATTTTCTCTTAATATCCTTAGTGAGATTGTGTCTGTTATAAAGTCAAGATGATTAGGCTGCAAGCCACTCAGCTCTCATTTATAAGAAAACCAAGCTACCAGAAAAACAGAGACTTAAGCATCTGTTCAAAGGCTTTTCGGATAGATATGAATCTATTTATATATGGTAACTACGACAATTTAGCTTTCAGTTCAAATCTGTGTTGGAAGCATGATTAATAATAGTGGTCTTTAACAATTGAAGGTTAAACAAAATAATGGTCACATATATTGTATTTTTTTAGTCTTTAATTTGCCACAAATAAATGCCACTATAATTCTGTGAAGAATAACTGTAAAAATTATAGAGGAACTAGCCGTTTGTCTAAAGCTCTGTAAAGACTTTAGATAGGGTCATCGTTGAATGGAATTTGGTCATTCGTTGTTCATAGTTTCAGTTGCTACTTAATTCCAGAGTTGGCAGTCACTGGATTTAGTTAAGTTTAAATGAGATCCAGAGAATGGTCTCCAAAAGCCTATTTTAAAAAGCCAAAAAGTAAAACAGAAAAGTTGTGACACATTGTGTTTGTTCATTATTTGTTTTTCTTAAATCTCTGTGGTTGCCCGTCTCTTCTAGGGGCCTCCAAATAAAAGAAAGTCAAAATTTAAACCATAGCAGCTTCTGATTCTGTCAGCCCATTGCTTTTAGAGTGAAGTATTTTGTGCTTCCAATCTTTTACTTCAGTTCGTAATTTAAGGCCTCATTCATCACGCATCTGCTGGCAAGTTATGTTTCACTGACTTTTATGAGGCTTAGTTTAAGTAAGCAAAACCATGGCTTGAATCTATCAGAAATTATTTCAGGCTGAGGTATTTATTTGTAGGCCCTCCAAGTCAGGGAATGAAGAAGAATCTTTAGGTTGCTGAAGTGATGAAAAGGGAAGGAGAAGTGAAGGTAGCTTTCCAAAGAGCCAAACACATTCAGTTTATCTATTGATTATATTTATATGCCACCCCCTCACCCTGAAAATAAACTCAGAACGGCTTACAATTAAAATTTCTTTGCTGATTTCAGCACAGGAAAGGTGTGTTTTGTACACAGTCTGTTTTTGGACACTTGGGTGCAAGTAATCCAGTGGTGGGATTCAAATTTTTTTACTACCAGTTCTGTGGGCATGGCTTGGTGGGCATGGTGTGGTTTGGTGGGTGTGGCAGGGGAAGGAGACTGCAAAATCTCCATTCCCTCCCCCACCCCACTAACCTGCTTTCCAGCTCTGTTCTCCTGCGCAAAGCAACCAAAGAAGACCCTGCCAATCAGCTGGGACTCGGGAGGCAGAGAATAGATGCGGGCAGGGCCAGTCAGATGTGGTATTTGCCGGTTCTCCGACCTAAAATTTTCACAACTGGTTCTCCAGAGCTGGTCAGAACCTGCTGAATTCCACCTCTGAAGTAACCCTCAACTATGTTTAGCAAACATTCAAAGTTACAAGAGCATTGACAAAAGTGACTTATGGCCAGTCCTCGCATTTGCATCCTTATGGTCACACGATCAAAATTTGGGCGCTTAGCAACAGCATGTATTTGTGACGATTGCAGTCTCCTGGGGACATGGGATTCTCTGTTGTGACCTTCTGACAAGCAAAGTCAATGGGGAAGCCAGATTCACTTAGCAACCATGTTACTAACAACTGCAATGATTCACTGAACAGCTGTGGCCAGAGAGGTCGTAATTACGGTGGAGATATCAAGAGAGGTATTAGATTTATGATTAATAGACCCAGGTCTGTTGATGTGTCCCAAAACCTTTTTAGAAGTTCTCTCTAAAGAAAAAATAATAATGCAACAGAAAAATAAAATAACAGTGTGTAATACGAACTATATTTAATTGAGCTGTGGTGGTGCAATGATGAGAATGCAGTATTGTAGGCTAATTCTGCTGATTGCCAGGGGTTCAATCCTTACCAGCTCAAGGTTGACTCCATCCTTCCGAAGTGGGTAAAATGAGCACCCAGATTGTTGGGGGCAAAGAGGCTGACTTTATAAACTGCTTAGAAAGCCATTTGGGTGATTGCGGCCCTGGCAATGGCAGTCAAAGGCCTGTAATTGCTGAGCTGGGTACAACACAGATTTGTGCCATCGTGGACAATCATTGACTGCGGATAAAGTCAATTCCATATAATTTTCATGTTATGTGGTTTTATCGTTCATTATGATTGTGACAGTGATGGCCATTAAAAGGAATCCTGTCAGTTCCACATCTTCAACTTAGCTTTTTTTAACCAACATAAGAGCCTCAAATGACTGTTTTGATCAGTTTTCCAGCTTCTCAGGCCAAAGCCAGCTGGACAACAAATAAGTGTGTGTGTGTATGTGTGTGTGTAGACAGACAGACAGACAGACGGATAGATGATAGATAGATAGATAGATAGATAGATAGATAGATAGATAGATAGAT